TGGACGCTTTTAATCTAATTCCAAAGCCCTTCTGGCACCTCCCTTCCCCCTATCACTTAGTTATCATTTATATGTTACGGATAAATAATTTCTATCTTACTTGATGTGTAGCATGTAGAAAAATGCCAGTGTATGCCAGCAGTTGGTTCATACTTTAGTTGTTACTGGAAATAAATGTAGCCACTACCTTTAAAAAAAAAAAAAAACAAATACATGTGTGCTCATTGCTCACTCCTTTTTAACCTTTTGAAATATTTTGTTTGGGCTACAACACGATGCATGATGTTTGTACACGTCGTGGAGTGGTCAGGTCAAGCTAACAAGCAGATCCATCACCTCATAGCATTGGTGGGTCGGGTCATGTCCACACTTGTGGCAGTTTCAGGTGTGCACTGTTACTGGTTGTGTCGTCTGCTGCACAGTGGCTCTCAGAACTTCCTCCTTTCCTCTCACTGAACTCTTGTCCCTGACCAGCGTCTCCCCATCTCTTCTCTACCCTGGCGGTCACTATGCCCTCAGCATCTATGAGCTGCTTCATTAGGTCCCATGTGAGGTCACACTGTGGCCTTCAGATTCATCTGTGTTGGGACAGATGTCAAGACTTCCTTTTCTGTGTCTGCTTTGGTTTTGGAACTTTGCTCTGTAGACGGGCCTGACCTTGAGCTTGAGGCAGTTTTCCCAGCTCTCCATTCTGAGTGCTGGGCTTCTAGGCCTGTGTATACTGCCTGGCTAGGATTTTATCATTCTGGTAGGAGGGACTGACTAAAAAGTTTTGTTCAAAAACCTTGCCCTTGCTTATCATTCCTGAGAGCAACTTACCTTTGTCAAAGCAACCTTTTAAAGTTTACTTTAATGTACTGAAAGTCCTCAGTTACTTATACTTCCTAACTTTTGACCTTTTCAAAAATGAGTCAGACTTCAATTTCCATTGTAGTTTGTGAAAAGAAATAAATGATTTCAAACATAAATATTTTGAGAAGCATAACCCTGATTTGTATAAATATTTAATGAGCATACCTTAGGTCTTATTTAACTCATTGAGGAAAATTAGTTACAACTGGTGTAAGGGGGAATTTAGCAATCATAAGAAATCCTATATGAGATATAAGTATGATAAAATCAAAAGACAGTTGTATAGTCTAGCGAATGGGGAATCCAGGCTCTGCTAACCCAGCTGGAGTTCTGTTGAAGGAAACTGAGCCTGTATTTGATCAAATCCCGGAATTGGGATCTGACACCAAATACGGTGGCCATAAATTCTGTGAGCCCATTGCACTGTGCAGGTCAAAAGAAAAGGCTGTTTACTCCAGCATTCCTCAAACCTTGCAAGGTGTGTTAGGTTTCAGGAGATGGTTCCTTCTGGCAGACTTAGTTTTTGACACGATGCCTGTGGTGATCATCCTTCTGTCAGTAGACCTCTAAGTTGCAGGAAAGGATCCATCCTTTGTCTCTCCCTTCCCTTCTCCCTCCCTTTCTCACCCTAATGCTCTTTAGCCATTCTGCAGTCATTTTGATGCTTATAAATAAGTACATACTCAGTAAGAAACATAACTAGCTATAAAGCAGATCTTCTCTTGGGATAATAAGCAGTTGCTTCTCACCAGGCATAGTTCACTTTCATTTCCATAGACAAATATAATTCTCATTACTATTGATTTTAAAATAACAGAAATAAGGCAAATATTTGGTGAGTATTTTTATCCAAATGATATTAGTAGCTCAGGTTAAAATCAGAAGTAATTAAAATGTGTATATAGTCATAGAGCCTGGTTTAAAAAATGTGTGGTGTTGTGTCTATGTATAGGTTTATGTGTGGACTGTCAAAGTAGGTGCAGCTAAATATAAGAATGGCAGTAAGATAGAATGAACCTCCTTAGGCTAACTTTGGAAAGAGGTAAAGTGTCAGTAAATCAAATAAAAATTTATTTTAGAAACCTGTAGAGGCACAGCAAATTAACTAAGAAAAGGACTCCGAGCCATAATGGGGCTTTACTTTAGAGACTTTGTCCACAAGTGCAAAGAACAGTTACTTAGTGACTAATTCTAGCATCAAAAATAAAAAGGGACATCAACTATCTCATTCATTTTATGAACACAAATGATTTTGTTTCGGCAATTTGATTGAAACATCTTTTAAAATTTATGAACTGGGATCATTAATTAGCAAACAAGTCAGTGCTATATCACAATTATTATTTACTACAAGCAACTAAATTGTCCTCAGATTCATAGGTGGCATCTTGAAGGCACAGAAGAGCAGAAACGCAGTCCTGATCTTTGACTCCTGTCTTTCCTACTCTTCTGCATTCTGTCCATGACAGTCTTTGGGCTTCCTCAAGGGTGCATTAGGAATCTCTGTGGTGCCTCACCACTGCCACTACCTAGAACAAGTCACCACCATCTCTCCTAGCTCCTGTACCACTCTCCAATTTCAGACTCCCTGGTCCATTATTTCCATTAATGACCTTTTTGCAACTTGTAACAAGAATGACCTTTATATAGATATATATATATATATATATATATATATATAT